AGACTGTTGACATTTCTTACTTCGGCGGGTATATCATTCACAACATCTGGATTTTGGTTACTGTTAGTGGATCCGAGTTATTTTTCAGCAGTTTTATTACTCTTTTTACAAAAACAATTATTTAAGAACACGAGCCTCAAAATTTGTCAAATGTCAAGAACAATAATGTGAAATCACCCTTAAAAAATTTATATAAAAAGGAAGAGTTTTTTGCCATCTAGGGGTGCTTTTTGGGTGAACTTTCAAACTTGTCAGCAAATAACGCCTGTCGCACCAATTTTGTTGGCAAATGAGGCCTGAACTCCGCATAATTCAAGAAATAATTTAGAACAATCCTGGAGCAAATTTTCGAAAAAATTAAAAACATCCAGGCTGAATTTCAATTTGCCGGTTCTTAAGGAAAGTTTTTTTTATTTATAGATATCTAGACCGAGATCCGATTTTACAAGGCATTGTCATATTTTAGAAACACGGCACGACTAGTGTAAAATGTGGCCAGAGAATGGCTTTTAAACATCACAAAGTCATTTTCAGATAGACTAACAAAAGTTTGGCATCTGGCAAATGATCTTCCCACTTACAATTATGGTGCAAAAAGTGTGAACGGGAGAGGGTCAGAAAATATTTTTGGGTGCTCTTCGTGGCTATGAATCCCCTTCTCGGGGTTTTCCAGTATAACTGTGTTTTCAAGGCATCGAGAAAGCTTCCTTGCAATAATGGAGTGGAAATTGCAATAGAATGACGTCATAAAAATATTTTTCTATAAATTTCGAATTCTGATCACATAACCTGAAAAAGCATCGTAAAATACCTCTAAATATGAAAAATCAGTTAAAAGTGTTACGAATTGACAGAGTTATGGTCAGATGAGCACAGGCTCTTGCCCCATCAAACCTCTTTAAGTTGGTCTCTGTTCATAAACTTTATGAACAGAGCCAAAATAACGGTGATCCGTTAGCAAATTTCAAATCTTTCATTTGCTATATCTCATTCAGTTTTTGACTCATTGGCCTGATTTTGCATATTTAGAAGTAATTGATAGAGTTCTTCTATGTTCTTTGATCAAAATTCAAAAATTATAAAAATAGTTTTCTTGTGACGTAACACTTAGAACTCAATGCCGTTAATAGTCGTGCCACAGATGTTGCGAGCGCTTGGATACGCCGACGAAAGACACTTGGATACCGTCTTGCTACGCTTTAATCAGTGAATTAGTCGTGAAGATTTAGAAAGTTTAACAGCAAAGTTAAAAACAAGTCAAGGGCTTTATCAGGGGCGGACACTTGGTGAAATATTGGGGGGGGCAAGCCTATTGTTTTAATAAGATGAAATCACATTTCCCAATGTCTTAGAACAAAAGACCACTGTTCTCCAAGGTATTGGGGGCGACCGCCATCGAAAACCTTAATTTTTTGTCTCTGTTTATAACCTACCATAACATAACCTGTTTGGCAGATTTAAAAGTATTTCATGTTGTCCTTTCAGGTTATATGGTCAATTTTCAAAAATTCTAAAAATTGTTTTTTTTTTGTGAAATGAGGCTTTGCTTGTTATGGCAGTTCAGGTCTTTTGGGTGGGCGCTAAATATCTTGAACTCAGTTGACTAACTTCACGCTCAATTGAACCTTAGGCGAGACAAGTAATAAATGTCAAGAAAACTTGATTGGACATTAGCTTTGTATCTAGAATTATCTTAATATTTAAGAAGCAAAGCCTCACTATTCCTGGGGGGCTTATACGAGGGGGGCTTAAAGAATCATTGTTGACATTAAGAAAACAATTACTACCGAAAGTATGAATTTGTTGTGGTAATTCAATAAAACGCCATAGGCAACCCAAGACGGCAAAACTCATCAAATTGAGGGGTCCAATTAGAGAATTTACGGTAGCAGTGGGGGCTTATTCGAGGGAGGGGGGGCTTATTGACAATTTGTAGTAATAGGGCGGGGGCTTATTAGAGGGGGAGGGGGCCAATTCGAGGATTTACGGTATGTTCAAAGTCTGTTGCAACTGATCCAATACCGATTGTGTTGCTTAAATGAATACACTCTTTTTATTTAAGAAACAAAGATCTTAATAACGATTGAGTTTTGCAGGCTCTAAACTCTGCTCAAATGTTCAGCTCACATTGTTTTTGAAGTGTTTCTAAATTTTAATGTCACAAAATTGATAAATTGAGGTCCTGTGTAAAATTTGTTTCTTATGAAATGAGGCTTTGCTTCTTAAATATTAAGATAATTCTAGATACAAAGCTAATGTCCAATCAAGTTTTCTTGACATTTATTACTTGTCTCGCCTAAGGTTCAATTGAGCGTGAAGTTAGTCAACTGAGTTCAAGATATTTAGCGCCCACCCAAAAGACCTGAACTGCCATAACAAGCAAAGCCTCATTTCACAAAAAAAAACAATTTTTAGAATTTTTGAAAATTGACCATATAACCTGAAAGGACAACATGAAATACTTTTAAATCTGCCAAACAGGTTATGTTATGGTAGGTTATAAACAGAGACAAAAAATTAAGGTTTTCGATGGCGGTCGCCCCCAATACCTTGGAGAACAGTGGTCTTTTGTTCTAAGACATTGGGAAATGTGATTTCATCTTATCAAAACAATAGGCTTGCCCCCCCCCAATATTTCACCAAGTGTCCGCCCCTGATAAAGCCCTTGACTTGTTTTTAACTTTGCTGTTAAACTTTCTAAATCTTCACGACTAATTCACTGATTAAAGCGTAGCAAGACGGTATCCAAGTGTCTTTCGTCGGCGTATCCAAGCGCTCGCAACATCTGTGGCACGACTATTAACGGCATTGAGTTCTAAGTGTTACGTCACAAGAAAACTATTTTTATAATTTTTGAATTTTGATCAAAGAACATAGAAGAACTCTATCAATTCCTTCTAGATATGCAAAATCAGGCCAATGAGTCAAAAACTGAATGAGATATAGCAAATGAAAGATTTGAAATTTGCTAACGGATCACCGTTATTTTGGCTCTGCTCATAAAGTTTATGAACAGAGACCAACTTAAAGAGGTTTGATGGGGCAAGAGCCTGTGCTCATCTGACCATAACTCTGTCAATTCGTAACACTTTTAACTGATTTTTCATATTTAGAGGTATTTTACGATGCTTTTTCAGGTTATGTGATCAGAATTCGAAATTTATAGAAAAATATTTTTATGACGTCATTCTATTGCAATTTCCACTCCATTATTGCAAGGAAGCTTTCTCGATGCCTTGAAAACACAGTTATACTGGAAAACCCCGAGAAGGGGATTCATAGCCACGAAGAGCACCCAAAAATATTTTCTGACCCTCTCCCGTTCACACTTTTTGCACCATAATTGTAAGTGGGAAGATCATTTGCCAGATGCCAAACTTTTGTTAGTCTATCTGAAAATGACTTTGTGATGTTTAAAAGCCATTCTCTGGCCACATTTTACAGTAGTCGTGCCGTGTTTCTAAAATATGACAATGCCTTGTAAAATCGGATCTCGGTCTAGATATCTATAAATAAAAAAAACTTTCCTTAAGAACCGGCAAATTGAAATTCAGCCTGGATGTTTTTAATTTTTTCGAAAATTTGCTCCAGGATTGTTCTAAATTATTTCTTGAATTATCGGAGTTCAGGCCTCATTTGCCAACAAAATTGGTGCGACAGGCGTTATTTGCTGACAAGTTTGAAAGTTCACCCAAAAAGCACCCCTAGATGGCAAAAAACTCTTCGTTTTTTATATAAACTTTTTAAGGGTGATTTCACATTATTGTTCTTGACATTTGACAAATTTTGAGGCTCGTGTTCTTAAATAATTGTTTTTGTAAAAAGAGTAATAAAACTGCTGAAAAATAACTCGGATCCACTAACAGTAACCAAAATCCAGATGTTGTGAATGATATACCCGCCGAAGTAAGAAATGTCAACAGTCTAGAAATCTTCCAAAAGCTAATAAAACAAATCAAAATTCTGTACTCCTGCAAATTATGAACCCGGATATAGCAGGGCTAGCATATATCACATAGATAGATTCCCAGAGGGTGGGGGGACCTGACTAGGAAAATGACAAGGGGGCTGTGCGGGAAACCTTTTTGCACCCTAACCCTGTCATATAAAAATTTGCCAAAAGCATACCCTGACCCACAAAAGTTTTCCAAAAAATACGGCACACAAATGCCAAAATTTCCCTAGATGTCATGATAATTACCACTAGCGAACGTAACTGAAAATGCTCATTCTAATTTAAGAAAAAATTAAATAGCCCCCCAATAATTCCCAAATTATATTTAAAACCATACAAAAAGTTGGCCCCAATCTGCTCTTAGTTTTTAGCATCTTTAGCCCCCTCCCCCCTCCCTAAAAAAACGCTTTAGCTCCTCCAATCTGTGATATAAACCGCTGTCCTTGGTATTCAATAGCCTTTTGCAGGAAGAGCTTGTTATTGTCACAAGTTAGTGTAAAACTAAAAGGACTAGCAAATTAGACCACAGTTTTTTTGACTTTAACATTTCTTCAAAGTGTAAATTATATAATGAAAACTAAATTGAAACGGATCTTACTTTGGAAAACCCATTATAGAGATGCTCAGGGTACACTTTTGATCTTTTCGAAAGTTAGAAAAACAATTTTTCCCGTATATAAATGTTCACAAGAATAATAACTATACAATATTTGATCATTAATATTCTTCTATGTTTTCAAAAAATTTTCATTTCTTGAAGTCCTTTTAAGTGTTCTTCTACGTTTTTACGTCCCTTTATAGCAGGACTCTAACTTTGACCCTAGTTCGTAGACGGGGCTCTTCGCAATTTTTCTCGCCTGGATTCAAGGCAACCGTAGCCAGCGGAGGATACACAACGGTGTCTCCGTTTTTTTTTCAAAGCTGTTTAGCTGTCAACAGCCATCAATGGCCGATTGTTCAACATGCTGCCAGCCGCGATAGCATGGTGTAGCCTGCGACACAGACCAAATCGAATGCATTCGATTTGGTCTGTGTCGCAGGCTACACCATGCGATCGATGGTAACAGCAATTCACATCATGTTAATTCTCACAAAACACCAAGGAAAACATGAGTAACTTACAGGAAGGACCATACCAACCATCGGATTATTTGTTAAATAATATTTACAAGATTTTCAATGCCAAATAGCGAAAATTGTCGCGGGAAGACTGCAGACACGTGCATGGGATTTGGCGCGAAAACGGTTTGGTTAATGTGGTGCAAAGCCTAAAGCTCATACAAAGGACAGAAAGGAGTTGAGATTGCTGCTAACCTTACAGTAACCAGGTAATGCCTCATTTCGTTTTATAATCGAAATTTCCAATATAAGTTTTTTAATAATTTCATGGAATTAACATAAAGCGTTTACTAACATAGGATTTGTTTCACCGAAACATTCCGATTTTTCATGAAAGTGGGGCGACTACCACCCAAAAACCCCTCCCCTCTGCATAGCAAGTGTCGCGAGAGCACGCCCGAAGTCCTGTAGAAAAAGTCAAAAACGCTTTTTGTGTTGCATGCAGTGTTTTGCGGCGAAGGCGGAATATCAAAGGCATCAAGCAGGATTATCACCCGTCCATGCGCTGTCATCAGGATTAGCGCCAATATCACTTTCATGCGATTTTTTGGGAAAATGCAGACTTCTGATTGGCTTAGGCGGTAGAATCTGCTTTTTTCTACCGATTGCGATTAATCACGTTTGATTTTGATTGGTCTGTGTTTTCTTTCTCCTTTTGGCGTGGATTTTCTCCTTATGACATGGATCGCGTTAATATATTTTTTCATTGGCAGTTATTGACATCCAACAAACGTTTTCAGTTGAAATGATACATTCTAAGTTATCTTCAAAGATGTCTGGAAAAAATTATTTTTCACAAAATGCAAAATGTGTTTTTGAATAAAGTTACCTCTGTTTTGCAAAATATGTTAAAAAGAAGTTTGTATCATCTGTGAGATATCTGTGAGATAGAAGTTCAGGGAGATTGCCTAATGCAGAGAGGATGTCATCCTAAAACTAGTGGGATTATTGATTCCCTGAAATTACAAAAAGAAAGTTTTGGATTAATGCTAATTCATAGGCTCATTTTATCTTCAGTTTGCCACAACTAGAAATTGGCTTTTCATCGCTATCCAAACCAACTGGAGGATATATCAAATCTCTAAATTTATTCTAACACTGGCGAAGTGCTGTATTTCGTAACTATTATTTGTCATACAGATCTCCATCGATAACATTTCTTTTTGCTTTTTGCTTCTTCTACAAAAGCAACTTAATTGAAAAATTATATTGTTGCATTTCACTTATCCTAAGTAACACTTTCTCAAAGCTGATGCTGGACCTGTAGACTCCACCATGGAAATCCCATGCTCATACCTTGTGCAAATCTTGTCATAATCTATCAAATCTCTTCTTCTAGGGTCTGTGTAAAGAGCATATATTTCATAAATGTGTGCTGACCAAAGGCCAAGTAAGTGCAATAACGTCTGCATTGAAAAGTGTTGATCCAGATTTCAAACCTGTGCCACCTGATGCACCAGCAAGAACCAAGTTGCCAAATAATCGGCTACTGAATCCAATGATGGAACCAATAACCGAGCAAGTGGAGGACAATTCAGTTTTTCCAGATTCATGGCAGGATAATCTGCATGACCTTTTTGAGCAGCAACTGCAGAATGAAATCAAAGGTTGGAAACTCTTTTCTTAATAAGTTTATATTTATCAACCTGACCAGCACCATTATGTTAGATTAATATCATTATCAATCTTAATAAATTCCCCTCCAGTGTATCAATAATGTTTTGGACCTTTTCTTACAATACTGCTTATGGTTGTACATTTTTCATTATAAATTTTAGGTTTTGTTACTATTCCTTCAATCGAGAGAAAAGGGGCAGTATCCGAGAAGGATGGAAAGAGGAAACAGCTATACATAGACATCAGTGAGGATTGGAGAAAGTCATTGCAAGAGACGATTGAAAAGGAAATTGCTAATGGAATGCTTGGAAAAGACATTAAATATTCAAGTGGAAAAAGTTTGTTGCATTTAGTTCATCAGTTTTACTATTACATTAATGGCAGAAAAATATATCAAAGAGTAGTAAGATCATTTTGAGCATCAATAATTACAGACATCTTTAAGAATTTTCTCCTGGTTTGGAAAAAATTAAAATTAAGTGTCCCAAATATTTTTGTTTTGACCTCCATAATTTTCTAGTCCAAAATATTTTTAGGATCTAGACTGTTTTGAAATTTCAACTACATAATAGGTAATCATGTACTTCATTTGAACAAGTCCTTCTATCAATAGAATAAATTGATATTATTATATCTATATGTTCCTAGTAAGCCAAGGGTTATTGATTTTTTCTCAAAGAACAATAACAGTTGAGACTTTAATCACGTTCTCATAATCCCAAATTGAGTGGTTCAAAAAAGCGGTTTAAGATTGGTCAAGCGGTCAGGCCCCCTTGTTGGCACCACCGCAAATTTCTTAACTATTTTAAATCTTCATCGCTTGCGCTCATTATGTGAGCTTACTTTTTTGTTTGGTAGCTGTACAAACAAAACTGTACTTTGTTTGGTCTTATAAGCATAAACTAACATCCAGATTATTTAATTGTTAGAACTTTTTGTTTTTACTATACTACGGTTTTTACTATTGTGTTTTGATACTCAGCTAAGTTGTCTTAACAGAAAGGCTTTTTTAGCTTCTTTGTGGTTCTATCAATTTATGCATACAGGGTTTATATGACATCATAACCAAACACAATCTAACCAACATCTAGCGTTACAAGTGGCTAGATAGATGAATAAATTGCACGATTCCATTCTCAAAATTATGTACATATTATTTTATTATATTATGAAGCACATTTACTCTGATAAAGCCCTGTATGCCAGGGCGGCATATAAGTATTCATTAAATTTAATTTATTCTAAACTTCTGTTTTTCTACATTGGATTCTCTTCGTCGTATTGTTTTGTTCCTGACTATTTTTCGTACTATTACTTATTGCAAGATTCACAGAATCCGGCGGACAAACTATCCTGCGTTTCTATCTTCTTTCACCTATTCTTTTATTCTTTGAATCAAATGTTTGCTTCATTTCATGCTAACAACAGTAAAAATATATCTTTTTGGTACTTCTAGAAGTTTCAAGTTCCCACGTGGCTCAATTTTACTGATAAAGGAATCGCTACGAAGTTTCATAATTGATAATTTTTAATAATTTAATTCATAGTTAGGTTGTTGAATTGAATATTTGTTTTTTTTTCATTTCTAGCTCTCCAGCACAAGTTCATTCCTTACTTAAGTCTTCTTGATCCAAAAGATCTAAGCGAAATTGTTGTTAATGAAATCTTGCCGATTCTGTGCTCACAACCTCAAGGCGTGTCTGTCAATTTCATTTGCCGACATCTGGGCGGACTGATTCATTCGCGATACGCAATGAAATGCAAAATAGAGGCAGGAGTTGTTGAAAAGGTAAGCCACGCCTTCTTAGATTCCCAATTAGCTATTTCAGTTGTGTAGTTAGAGCATGCTTTCATAGAGTGCATGGAATAAAGAAATGCAGCTTGTAAGCTTAAAAAAAGACGTTGTCGGTAGCCATCATTACTATTCAATGTACTTTTTTTTACCTGAGAAATTTCTGAAAAACAACAATGAAAGAGTATATTAAAAATCTGAAGATGACACGAACTAGTGGAAACATAGCATACTAAAGTACTTTGGTCAAATACTCTTCAGAGTATAAACGTCGGATGATGACCAAAAGTAATCTGAATATTTGTATTCATGTGTGGATCGAAAACAGCGTGAAAGGAAGAAATCCGTATTTGATTGGTTATCTTGTTATTACCAATCAGCTAAAGCTAACCTCTCATCTAATTGTCGAGTCCAAGAAATAAAATGAACTCTTTTTGTCTACACAAGTTGGAATCTTTTTTTACGTAAACAGAATCTAAAACTCCTAAATGAAACAACGACCTTGCTTGTCCGCGCTGATTTTGAAATTTTTTGTAACTTTACGTTTTTGGCATACTCTGGATATGTGAGCAAAACGTACCTCAGTACGTGATATGTTTCCGCCATTTCGTGCCATTTTGTGGTACCAAAAACTTATATGATTAAAATATTTGCTTGTGTTTTGCTGTTTTTAAACCGACCCCAGAGAAGTATGTAACGTTACTGTGCTTGAATGTATTCGAAGTCTAAATTCGACTTGGAACTGAATCAGGTAGGAAATATGTTTCTGTATAACGGCTATCTAAAACTGCAACTAAAACATGTGATTCTGCCATTTGCCAACATTTACTGGAAAACCCAGATTGTGCAAAAAACTATAATGGCGACATGTTTCGGATTATTGGTAAAGCCCGGTTGCCCGGTCGTCGTTCCATCTAGCAGTTTTGGATTCTGTCTACATTAACATGAAAAAACCGCGATTGTGTAGACAAAAGGAGTTCGTTTTCACCTTAGGACTCCATTGGTAACATTTTCAATAGGCAAGCGGCACTGATTGGTCAACCTCTACAGTCACGTGCTCGTGTTTCTGATTGGCCCATTTCGATCCACAACTGGGTATATATATTTCCTAGCGTAGAGTTTTCGATTTATGTTTTGACATTTTTCCCGTGGAGTATCAGGCGAAAAGCTGCGGTTTATTTCAAAATATTTGTTCTTTTTTCTAAGCCATTATTGAGTATTCTTTTATTTGATTTTGTTGGATTAACAGGTGCGAGAAATATACACAGAGTATGGCGAATATGCTGTTGATATTGACAAAGTTTCCAAAGATCTTCCAAGGTCAAAATGGTATGAGATTGAGCGAAAGGCCGAAAATCTCGCATCACTGAAAGTCAATGCTCCAATTTGGCCGTATACAGTGAAAGTTTTGGTAAGATCGTCAAAGTAACTTTTTTGAGTAATACCAAAGGGTATAACTGACTTTTAATCTGTATTGCCTACCTTTTTATTGGGATGGTGCTAGGCAAACATATAGTACTCAGG